ATCCGCCAATGGGAGCCGGGTCCGGGGAGTTATCTTGGACACCAAAAAGACCTATTCCTGCTCCTCGAAAGGATCTCTTGGATTGGCCACCCCTTCTGTTCCTATCCCCGAAGTCGGACCTCTCTGGCTGCTGCCCTGGTCTGAAAGATGGGGGTCTCTGGTATCTGGGTGAGAAGAATCCCTGATAAAAGGGCCGAAAGGATCCCCTCCGAAAGGACTGAGGGTTTCTAGAATCTGACTTCCGAAAAAGAGAAGGTAGAATTTTCTTTTTGTTTTGGGTTTCGATTAGCAGCGGGTTGAGGGCAGGGCCAAAGAGTCTGTCTCCCACAATAGGAGATGAAGCCAGCTTGCATTTGTGCTTAATGTCCACTTGCCAATGTTTTAACCATAGTAAGCGTCACACTGTGACATGTGAGGTAATGGCCCTGGCTGAAAACTTGACTGCATGATAAGTTGCGTCAGCTGAGAATTCAGCGGCTGCTATAAGTTTTGCAATATCTTGGTGTGCTCTAATGTTGGAATTAGGGACATACTCCCGTAAGAGACGGAGCCACCTGAGAGAAGCATGGGTAAAGAAGGAAGTGGCCGTGGCCACTCTGATGGCCCACGCATCAGACTGATGGGCCCTGCGTAGGGCAAGCTCAGCCCGTTTTTCCTCCGGCTTTAATGCCTTCAACGCTTCACTGGGAATGGAGGACGAGGACGCTAATCCCACTATAGGTTCCTCTACCTCGGAAGTATTCAACAATTTTGAGAAATTAGGGGCCAAATTAAAATATTTCCTGTCATATCCCGTGGGGGCAGGGTACACCGCTGCAGACGCCCACTGTTTCTGTACCAGGTCTGAAAACATGTGAGGAACTGGAATCACATCTGCCTCGACTACCGGTTGGTTGTAAATTAGATCTTCTGGTCCCATTTCTGAAGGAGTTGGAGTGGTAGAAGGGGCCGACTTGTTCAGGTGTGCAATGTTTTTTGCCTTAAACAAAAGTGATCTGAATAGTTGTGGGCGGAATAAGCCTGAAAATACCGGTTGATCAGGAACAAGGCCCTCATCCTCAGACATCCCACTTTCTAGGGGTTCTGCTTCTGACAGGGCCGGGTCACTGTCATGTATTGATCCTGACCCAATCTGTTCCATTTGATCAATGTGATCCACTTCTGCCTTCTCCTCCTCCTCCTGCAGCCCCTGGAGGGGCATGTCCCCCTGAAACTGTACCTGGGTATAGTGTTGCTCCGATCTGGTCAACGACCTTAGAGATTGAGAATCATAGTCAGTGGTTACCGGGTGTTCCCTGGTCAGAACTGCATGTTGAAGACCTGCTGCAATTCCCTGGCGGATTGCCAGCTCCATCCACGCCTTCATTCTCTCTGGAACTTCCTCTGGAAGAATGTCGTCCTTTCGAAGACCAGCAGCCGTCGGAGTGAATGTAGCTTCAGGAGCCCTTCGCGTGGTCTGTGTTCCAGGTAACTGGGCTGTTGACTCTGGGAAATCAAGCTGTGTCTGGATGAGAGGGAGAGATCTAGGGGAGGAAAAGGATGGGAAGAGGTAGACGGTACTGGACTTGGGGGCAGAAGGTCCTGTGAGGCCCTGTGTGCCTCCCTTGCACACCTATCTATTTGCTTTTCTAATGCTTTATGGCGCCTGTTGGCATCCTTTAGAATGACCTTTTATCTGCTTGGATTTGTGCTGAGATTTAGCTTTGACCCTTGATGTTGAGGGTTGAGAGCTACTACCGCCTGCCATTTTGAATGGAAAGAGATGCAGTTTGCTCGTTATTCACAGCGATACTGTTGAGGCAGTTGGCACGGCCAGGGGCCTGATCCAAGAAGGGACCGGTTGCCCTGATAATATCTTATCCCTGGGTTTTTCTTTTTTCAATTAAGGTATATGTATATATAATATGAGTCGTATCACAGTAATAATATCTTTCCTTATTAAGATATTAATACCGAATATTATTTATTATTTATTATTATTATTATTATTATTATTATTATTATTATTATTATTATT